CTAATCAGAAAGCAATGCATCACCCACCTGCTCACTTTAGAGATCAGAAAGTGTTTTCCTAATTTACAAGCTGACATAATTATTACTGTTTTATAGGGTGATGAGATGAGGAAATGCATCTATACCTTTTATTTCATGGGAAAACGATCCGTAGCCATTGGGTGCCAGCCAAAATGTGTGAGAACTGTCATTGTGAGTATGACAATTTGATCATCTTTCTAATTACTGCAGCAACATTGGGAAATTCGATCATTTGTTATACTTTTCAAAATGTCTTTGCACGTATTCTTGCTACCATACCCTCTACCTCCTCATCATCTTCATTGTCATTGTCAATCAAAGTGGCAGTGGTGGCAATAAAACTCAGAACAGCCCTGTAAGTCAGCAAATAGGTAAATGCCACAATATTCAATTGCATGATGAAAAAAGGGGAGAGTAAGAGGCTAAGAGGACCTCCCTGTTCCCACAAGTAGATCTGTGAGCACACTTGCAAGCCAGAGACAGAGCAAGTGGCCACTCACTAAGGGAAGATAACGTATGAGGGTCATTTAGAAAACAGGACCCCAAAACTGCACACCACTGTTGTTTTGGAATTTTATTTACAACTTCCTGTTCTGCTTCTTTCCCAGAGGACTAGACATAACCTCTGCCTACCCTAGCAAAGGTGGGGTAGTCTGGCCCTGAAGCTGCAGAGCTCTGGGCTAGAAGAGATTTTGTTTTAATACACTCAAGAGTAAAGACAGGCCAAAACCAAGCAGACATCCTGTGCCGTCAGTCGTAGATGAAATGACATCAGTGCAAACGGCCCAGGTTTGGGGTGGAGAAACCCTGGGACGGCCTGCTCTCCCACATCACATGCATCTTTCTTTAATTTGTTCTGCTGCCTCTCCTCCTTTCTCATTTTTCTTTATCCTCTTGTCTGACTTGCCTTTTCCTTTCCCTCTTGCCCGCCTTCCCGGGGAGAGCCTTGGTCCTGTCCCTAGCACCCCTGGAAATTGCTGAGCTTCACTCAGTCCTCGGAGGGTCCTGCCCCCATCCCTCAACCCTCTGTGTGAGGTCAAAGACACAGGTGCACACAGAGCCCCCGCCCCCCCAGCAGGATTTCTGCACTGAGGCTGGACAAAACCCAAAGGCGAGAGTGTGTATCCAGCCCTGTCCTTCTGTTTCAGACAAGGGAGTGCTGTGCTGGTTTCTTTGGGCCTCAGTGCCAGCCCTGCCCAGGGAAAGCCCAGAACTCCTGCTTCGGTAACGGCATCTGCTTGGATGGCATAAATGGCACGGGCGTGTGTGAGTGTGGGGTGGGCTTCAGTGGCACCGCCTGTGAGACCTGCGCCGAGGGCAAGTACGGCATCCACTGCGACCAAGGTGCGCCCCCTCCTCCCCTCCCCCAGTCAGGCTCCTGAACTTCTGAAACCCACCTGGAACATGCGGGAAAAGAGTGATGGCAGGTGCTTCCTACCTGGCCTGTCTCCCCAGCGGGCTGGAACCCCACCCACTGTTATCAATGTGAATCATAAGAACATGTGTTTTGTCATTTGCATAGGGCAGTGTTTCCAGACGTTTTCAGTCACTAACCTGGACCTACCAACCCATCCCCAATCTGCTCAACTACATTTCTGTCTTTGCCTGTGCACACTAATCATCGTGGTTAAGCTTTCAATTGTGGACATTGCCCGATAGTTTAAAAAACAGATCTGCACACATTATCTTATTTAATCCACACAGGAACCTTATATACTTGAGTGTTGCTATACCCATTTTACAGATGAGGATATTAAGGCAAAGAGGTTGAATGGCTTTCCCAAGGTCACACCTGGTGAGAGGCAGAACTGAGATTTGGCATACCTTGCTTGACTCCAAACCCTTGCTCTTAAATCATGCTGTTCTTTATAAACGATTACTCTATTGATTCACCATCAACAAGCCACATGCTTTAAGTTGTTTTTGCAAAAATACTGATTTGTTTGAGCCAAGTCATCTGCATTCTTGCACCTGGACTTCCTTGTGCCCAGGAATACACACCTGTGAGAGGGTGACTTAGGAGGACAGGTTTCCTAACCCATGATGAGAAAACAAAGCATTGTTCTACCTAGTACTAAAAAACATAAACTTGACTTGGCTATCACTGCTTTCTCATCAGCTGGCCTAAGCCAGACAAAAATTAACATATAATTGAATCATTATAATTGGGCCATACAATAATTAGAATTATAGTGTTGATTTTTTTTCTGTGTTATTTGGAAGAATTACCTGCTTGCATTTGTGCAGGAGTTCCTAACCTGGGACCCACGGATGACCCTCACGGGGTCCAGCAAAGCTCCAAAGCTCAATGCATTTCTGTGGGGAAAACATCCATAGCTTTCACCCAGTTCTCAAAGAGGCTCATGACTCTGCTGTGAAACAGAAGAATCAGCCTTTCTATATTATTGAAGAAAGCAGGGCCACACCAGGCTCATACAAACCCAATATCAAATGGGTTTCTTTTTGAAGTCCACTGTTAGGGAACAAGCATGGTTCCATCTCAACAGGTCCCACATAACCCTGGACCCTCAGATGACCTTGGCTGAGGACACTCTGGTGCTGCATGGGTATCACACTCACAGTGCTACACAGTCCCAAAACTGTGTTCTGAGGCTCTTTATTGCAGCGTGAGTTGGTTTATCTGTTAACCAGCTTGATTCTGTCTCTTGCACCCCTACCCTTCCCGTGAGTTGAGCCCCCCGTTAAAGACAATGATTCAATAGAACCAGGTTGGAGAATTAAGTGCAATGATGTGAACCCAGTAAATGACAAATGAGTTATTGAACATGGATTAGAGTCTAATGATTCGTAGGTGTCTTTCCACTTAGTGTGTCCTTGCGTCCATGGGAGATGCAACCAGGGACCCTCGGGTGACGGCTCCTGTGAATGTGACGTTGGCTGGCGCGGAGTGAAATGTGACAGTGGTAAGAGTGAGCCCTTCAGTATGCACCATCCATTCTTAGCCTCACCTCGCAGCAGCCACGCTCTCTTCTTTCTGAAACAGGAATGACACCTTCATTACTTCTTCTGACAATAAACATAATTCCTTTGTGCAGTAAAAATTTTGTAAAATAAAAAAAAGGCAGAAAGAAGAAAATAAAATTACTCATACTCCCAAGGCAGGAAAGAACTATTACTGATATTTTTTATTAGCTTCCAACCTCTTTTTAGGTGTATAAACGTATGTGTAGGGCATCGTACTCTACACTGTCTTGTAGGCTGCTTTTTCACTTCACACTGTATAACGGAAGTTTTTCCATGTGAATAAAGATAGATACCATTCATTTTTAATTTCCACATAATATTCTGTTATACATCAGTGCCACACTTTTTGTTTGTTTGTTTGTTTTGAGACAGAGTCTCACTCTGTTGCCTGGGAGTAGCCGGGACTACAGGCATGCGACACCATGCTTGGCTAACTTTTCCTATATATTTTTACCTGTCCAAGTCATTTCTTTCTATTTTTTGGTAGAGACGGGGGTCTCGCTCTTGCTCAGGCTGGTCTCGAACTCCTGAGCTCAAACGATCCACCTGCTACTTATTGCCAAGCTGTCCTTCAGAGGTAATATCAATTTATTTTCCCAGCAACAGGGTCTGAGAAGGCCCATTTCCTCCAACCCTACCTCATAGCACTGATGGTTCTCACTGTGCTTCAGGTGAGATTGATGAGAGAGAAGGAAATTTCAGGCAGAAAGAAGCATGTGGAATAGCACAAAGATATGGTAAAGCGCTGTACATTTAGGGAACCAAAGGATTACAGAATGAGAGGGATATGAGGGCGAACAGGAGAGTTGAATGAGAAAAGGCTAGAGTGGTGTGGTAGGAGGAGCCAGACCGTGAAAGGGTAAGGAGGTTCAACTTCCTGATAAAGCCACCAGGAAGCCATGAAACGGTTGGCTCACACCTACAATCTGGGAGCCAAAGCGAGAGGATCACCTGAACTCAGGAGTTGGAGACCAGCCTGAGCAACAGTGAGACCCCATCTCTACTAAAAATGGAAAAATTAGCCAGGCGTCAAGGCACATGTCTGTAGTCCCAGCTACTCAGGAGGCTGAGGCAGGAGGATTGCTTGAGCCCAGCAGTTTGAGGTTGCTGTGAGCTAGGCTGACGCCCCTGCACTCTACCAGGGGCAACAGAGTGAGACTCTGTCTCAAAAAAGGAAAAGAAAAAGAAAAATCATTCTAATGCTGGATTGAAGAGAATATTCCCGGAAGCAGGTATGAAAGATTTCCTGTCTCCTGGGGCAGGGGCTTAAGAGGAGATCACAGGTGGCCACCAGCCCAGTGAGGGCTCCAGGGATGTGGGATTGTCAGAGGGGGTGTCTTTGCTCAAAGCTCCCAGTGAGGCTAAAATCAAAGTAATGCAGAGTTAAGAGTTGGTAAAAGAGCTTAAGTGGGAAGTCTAAATGGTTCCAAGCCATGTGTGCAGTAAAACACAGAACAAAACTGTGGTGTGGAGTGCAAAGCAAAGAGCCTCTAGACTAGAGCAAGGACGACAACTCCACCCTCCCAGTCCGAACTTCCCACTCCCAAGTCCACGGCAGACATCACTAATCAATTGTTGCACTCTCTCCATCTGTGGCCAACTAGGGGTACTAAATCCTGCTCAAAGGGGCACCTGTTGTAGTCACTACCAATTAATTGCATTGGGTCAAAGACTTAAAGCAGGTTCCAGAGAGGAGGATCTAAAAGATGATTGAGATTTCAATAGGTAAGGAATGAAGAGATTTTTAGGCTCAAGGAATAACACAAATAAAGGCACAAAATTGCATTGCATCCACTCCAGCCCATTTAAGTCCGAAATGTTCCCCCAGACCACTTTTGCAGCCAGGTCTCTGTTGCAGGCCCTTCTGTGTGACTTGGCCAGGGCTAGTAAGATTTCTATCCCAAAAGCTCTCAGCTTGAGCATCCTGCCCAAAGGGTTCCTCTTTCCTCAACTCTAATGATTTCTTTCTGGATCCCTTCTTGTCAGGGAATATCTGTTAGCTAGGTATCCAAGAGCAATAACTTATGCCATATTCAGGAAATTTAGAAATTAATTCAGTAAATAAATAGCGTGTCCCTGCTGTGTGCCAAGCCTGGGGCTATTTCTACACATACAAAAATCTTTTAATATTATTTAGAATTATGCGTTTGCTTGTTTATATCACTCTGTTAAAAAAAAGAGGATGAAAAACTAGAGAATAAAATTAGAAAGAATAAACTAGCAAAAAGAAACATGGGAAATATAAACACCCAGAGGTAAGAGCCCACAGTCCTATTCAAGGGAGAATACTGTTTTACCCATGCTCACAATCTCCCTGCCTCACACAAGGCCTGGCAAACAGGAGATGGTCCATCAGGGCATCCAACCTCCAGATTTGGCTCTAAGCTTCATGGCAGCCCGTGTAAAAAAGGATTTACATGGTCACGTAGTTTCACAAAGCTCACGTGCTACATACCAGTTACTTGCGAGGAAGTAAGTCTTTTCCTAGCACCAAGCATAAAAAAAAAAAAAACTCTCAAGTGTGATTTAGTAAAAGAGGGCTGATGAGGCAACTGCTTCTCTTTTTCAGCGATCACAAAAGACAACTGCAATGGGACGTGCCACACCAGCGCCAAGTATGTACCCTCTGGGCCTTCTTTGGGGACAATACAAAGGAGATTTTTTTTTTTCCGCAATGGTTTCCACCCCAGGCCCTATCCTCAGGAGAGTAGTTTCCTGACGCCATTTCTGAGAGTTTAGGATAAATTCAAGTATGAAACTAAAAATATCTCTGAAGAGGCCACCATCAACTTACCAGATCCAGGCTTTCCAGCAAGCTGCCATCTGAATCACCTGGCACATCGACAAAAATGCCAGTTGTTAGCCCAGTCTAAGCCACCAGGTCTGTTTCATGCAGGCCAAAGAAACCCGGTGGGCCTCAGTTTCAGAAAACGTTGCTCCTGACTTTCAACCAAGCCTTCCTTGGCTTCCTACTCCTAACTTCCGCGGAGGCTTCATTAACTAAGAACACGGGAGCTGGAGTTAGACCTGAATTCAAATTCAGCCCCTATCATTTTCACTGACTGCATGACCTCGAGTCAATTATCTAATCTCTCGAACTCTCAGTTTCTTCATCCGTAAATGGGAATAATAACGATGCCCACTTGCTGGGGCTACTGGACAGTGTGTAGATGACATGAAGCAATGCATGAGGCACAGCCCCAAGCGCATAGCTAGTTACCCTCCTTATTCCTGGGCTGCCACCTGCATGTGCACACGCCACAGTTTGCCTGCTATACGACTGCCCTTAGCTGTCTGTGCTGAGTGAGCTCATGGCTGGAACAGACTCCCCTCCCAAGGCTTAGGCAGGACCTCCGAGTGCCTCATAGGGGCAGGGTCCAGGATGCCAGGGCTGAGCGGCATTGAGAGTCACGTGGTGGCGTGTCGAGTGCTTTGCTACAAACACCGCTTGCCCTTTCTTGGTGCAGCTGCCTTCTCGATCCAGATGGCACAGCCTCGTGCAAATGCGCGGCAGGATTCCGAGGGAACGGGACAGTCTGCACAGGCAAGTGAAGAAGGAACGGCGGAGGCCGGCAAGGCTTGCACAGGCTGTTGAGGGATCCGTGTCCCTGCACTCTGAATGGGCCTGGGCAGCTGGTGCCAGCCACTGATGGTCCATTGCATGTAACAGGCAGCTGATTGTGCCCGGGGACAGGCTACCAACTGTTCATGAATGGGACGTGTTGGTTTTGGAATGGGCGGGGTCATTGCACCTGTTTTCAAGGTACAAGTGCAGTAGCTTGCAGCCTTGACTGCCACTGAGATCACCTGGGCTGCTTTAAAAACCACTGATTTGTGTTGGGAACCCACAAGAAAATGATAAATGTTTCAGATGATGCATATGCTAATTACCCTGATCTGATCATCGTATACATTACATGTATCCCAACATCATTATGTACAATTACGTGTCAATTTTTTTTACAAACCACTGATTCGATTGGGTTAGGGCATGGCTGAGGCATGGAGGCTCCAGAGTAGGACAGAAAAGGGTTTGAGCCCTAGTTCTTCCTCCTACTACCCACATGGCCTTGGGTGGGTCTTCTAACTGTTCTGAGACCAGTCAGCTCATTTTTAAAGTAAACATGAAACTACCCCCCTTGCTGAGTGGTTTTGAGGTTAAATGACGTCTCTGTGTACAATGGCAGAATGATGCAGCTGTGAAAAACCCGGCCTCATCATCAGACTCCTGGGTTCGAATCTAAGTTCTTATCATTTACATTACCTGGAAAAGTTGCTTGACTGCTCTTTTTACCATTTTTTTATCTACAAGTTGGGGCTAATAAGAGAGCCTCCCCCACTGGGTTGTTGGGTGATGATAACCTGGATTAATACCTGTGAAATGCTTACAACAGCCCTAGCACCGAGCATTCGGTAAACGTGAGCCAATGTTCTTACAGTGCCTGGTGCTGGAAAAATGGAAAATCTTAGAGTCATTTTTCCCGTAAGCACTGTGTCCTGGCAGGCCACGGTCCACCTTGGTGGAGCTGGATGATGAACGCACCCTCTTGCTTTCTAGACCATCTTACCCTAGGGATTCTTCTAGAATGCCTGGTACCCTGCCCCTGGTCCCCAGATGTTTCTGCAGTAAGATATGCATAGTATGCTGGTAAAAACAGCTGGAAGGGACAAAGAACTGGAATGTTTTTCTTGGCCTCTGTTTTTGGGGATTTGGCCATTTTTACCCCAATGCTTGCCGGACCATATGTGCTGCTAAAGTGAGCACTCGGTGCCTGCCAGAGTAGTTTTGAAGTGTCTTGCATCTCTCAGGGACTCAAGTAAAATTGCATCAGTGAGTTTTTCCCTTCTCCCTCCTCCACTGTGTGTCACCCCTCCCTTCTGTAGCAATCAACGCCTGCGAGATCAGCAACGGAGGGTGCTCTGCCAAGGCTGACTGTAAAAGAACCACCCCGGGAAGGCGGACCTGTGTGTGCAGGGCGGGCTACACGGGCGACGGCATCGTGTGCCTGGGTAGGTGGCCATCCCTCATCCGTCAGCAGAAACCGTGTAAGAGACAGAGCCCTACACGATCATTCTAACGTGTGAGCTCTTACTGGTAGGACTTGCAGCTTCTGGGATCGTTATCTGGTTTGCCTGGGCAGGAAAGGACGAGGGTGGGGAAATGTGACCACAGGGGCATGAAGGCCTATAATGTTCAAAAATCACTTAGGAAGCGTAAAAGGAGAGAAACTTTTTCTAATTAAACATGATGGCAATGACTGAATTTTAAAACTTTTATTAGTTTCTTTTTATATAAGTAGCACCTTCTCACTCTGGAAAAAGAAGGCATATAGGCTGGGGAAAAAATTCTGGAGACAACACTGTTATTGTCATATGACCCCATTTTGCTACGTAGACATGTATTTTTTTAATGAAAATGACATTTCATGATACATAGCGCTTATGATCTTAGCAATATGATAGAACAACTCTTCCTGAAAATAAGTATACCTCTGATTCATTACATTAATGGCCACACACTGTTCTACCATAAAGGCATATCATAGTAAGTTGCCTGAATTTAACTTTTGACTTGGAAAAAAAGATTCACTCAGAAAAGTTGCAAGAATAGTACAAAAAAGACCCACGTGGTTCTTTACCTATATTCACTTATTAACATTTTGCCCCAGTTGTTTTCATTTACTCTCTTTTGAAATCTACATATTTTTTCTAAATTATTTGAGAGTAAGCTATGCATATTATATTCTCTTTATCCCTAAATACTTGAGTGTGTATTTCCTAAGAATAAGGACAGCCTCTGACATAACCACGGCACAGTTATCAATCTCAGTAAACTGATTACTGATATAATACTTTTATCTAATTATTATTTGTATTCTAATTTTGTCAGTTGCCCCAATAACGTTTTTTTTTTTTTCCAACAATACTTCCTTCAGTGCAGGGTCCAGTCTAGAGTCAAATATTGCATTTAGTTGTCATTATCTCTTTAGTCCCCTTTCATCTGGGACAGTCCCTCAGCCCTGCTTTGTCTCTGATGACATTGACATTTTGGAAGGATGTAGTCGACTGCCCCAACTCCTTTTTCTTCCATAGCATGTCCTTTATCTTAGGCTTGTCTGATGTTCTTTCATGATTAGGTTCAGGTTACATGTTCCAGGACTGAATGTCATGGATGTTGCATCCTTCTCAGGATATCACACCATCGGCACTGGGTTCCCCTCTGCCCCTCGTGCATGATGTTAATTTTGACCCCTCAGTCAAGGTGCTGTCTGATTTCTCCACTGTAGAGTTATTTTTTTCCCCTTTGCTACTAAAAAGCAATCAGTGGAGACATACTTTAACACCAAGCAAACATCTTGCTCCTCATCAAAATGTTCTCCTAAGTTTAGCATCGACTGATGAATCTTCCCCCAGCCAATCTAGATTGTGATGGTTGCAAAAGATTTTTAAAATTCCTGTCTCTTCATTCATAGCAGTGTTGGCTTAGACTCTAAGATTCTATTATTTCTAATACTTTGCCGCAAATGCTCATATTCATTTCTCAAGAAGACAGATTTAAGCCTATTGACTGTGCCTCTGCTGGAACTAGCTCTTCCCCCATTGGGTTCCTGCTATCTCAGAATTGTAAGAAAACTGAATCCCACTTTGCTGCCTGTTCCCCTTGGTCAGTTAGCCCTCCTAGCTCGCCCCTCAAGATGCCTTCACTGGGAAACCAGACTTGATTCTCATGCCAGGTGTTGACTTTTTGTTTTAAAGAAATCAACCCATGTTTGGAGAACCACGGTGGCTGTGACAGGAACGCAGAGTGCACGCAAACGGGACCCAACCAGGTGAACTCCGCCCCCCAGGTCCTTAGGTTTCCTAGAAGGAAACTCCTGGGTCTTTAGACACAGGCCTGAGGAGAGAGGCTGAGGACTGACCTCTGAGCAGAAGCAGAAAATAAGTACTTTAGGGGAAATTATGAAAGAACAGGAGGCCATTCTTTGGGAATGAGGAGAAATGGGGGAACAAAGGGTACCAGGAGAAGGGGCTCCCCTAGAGTGGGGAGAAGTAGCCATCTGCAAATACCACATGATTCCACAAACAACTAGAATGTCCCCAAAAGTGCTCCCATTTCTTTCAGCTTTCTGATGCCCAGAATCCCACATTTTTTTCTTTAGCTTGAGGCCCTGAAATGCATGTGCCACAGCAGAAGATCAGACTGTAGGCTCTGGCCGGGCGCGGTGGCTCACGCCTGTAATCCTAGCACTCTGGGAGGCTGAGGCAGGAGGATCCCTTGAGCTCAGGAGTT